CTTTTTGCCTGGATATAAGGTTTTAAAACTTGGTTAGGTGGGCAGTTTTTGCAGTGTGGGTACATGAGTTTTTACTATTAAAAACTCAACTTTATCACTATTACTAATTCAGAAAACTAGTTCATCAGTCACAACAAACTTTTATGGAAATGTTTGGAAACTAATAATTGGATGTACTTTTTTCAAACTGATTTACTGATGAACCTTTGGATTCAAGATGGCCGCCACAGCTATGCGATCTTAGCAAACAGAAAAAAAACAACAACCATAACTTGAGTAATTTTACAGATTAGCTAAAATTGGATGTAGAAGTAGCTTGGATTGATCCCCAGTGTAACACTAACTAATTGTGCAAAATGTGTAYTTCAAACTTTCTTATTAACTGTTGGGTTATCTGTTTTAAAAAGAATGATTTAATATCCATAGATAAGCTGAGTTTTACATTGGTAGTAATCAGTTATGATCAACAAGTTGAATGAATTTTTTTATATCTAAACAAATCGATGTGTATTTTCTCATATTATCGTCCTGCATGTCTTTCAGGTGGTCTTTCGGTGTTCTCCTCTGGGAAATTGTAAGCTTGGGTAGGTATGCAGAAATCACACAGACCCTAAGATGCTTATCAGAGAAACTGTAAARGTCGTTCTTTATATCTAATTCAATCTTAAACACAGACAAAACCTCATCTACAGGCGTCAGCGCCTGCAACGTGCAGAAAAGTTACACTGCATTTCCTGTACTAGGACTGCGTTRACAAATACAGAAGAAAATGCATTTTGAAAATAAGAAACATTTATTAGAAWATCAGGTCCTACTAGTTTTCACTGTATTCTTGTCATTCAACTTGATTTACCCGTTCAGATCAATAAGTTTCTCTTTTTTTAATATAGTTTTTCTGTATCTTCAGGGGGAATTTATAAAATAAATCCACCAAGCATATTAATTCTAGTAATGACAAATGTATTTTTAAAGGGAGATATGCATCTGTACAYTGAGCTTGTTCTTGCAACTGGTGGCAGTGGTCTACCTTAACAGTCTCAATTCATCTTTATGAGTCATGGAGAATTTCTGCAGCAGTTTTTGAAATTACTCAACGATTCATTAATAAATAATTCCCCCTGAAGTTTGAGCTAAGATTCTGGTTTAAATTGAAAACAAGCTTATTTAAAATTACTTGGTGAGGTAACAATAAATTTAGAGTGGTTTTAACGTGTGTTTAACATGTTCTTTGCCTCTTCCTCTTGTGGATCAGGTGGCACACCGTACTGCGGGATGACATGCGCTGAGCTGTATGAAAAACTGCCTCAGGGTTACAGGATGGAGAAACCTAAAAACTGTGACGACGAAGTGTAAGTAGCTTATTATTTAATACTTTCATGAAAACGATAAGATGTTTTATCGAACGTGCAAATTATCTTCGTGTGCATGGCATTGCAGCTATGARCTAATGAGGCAGTGCTGGAGGGATCGGCCCTATGAGAGACCCCCGTTCTCCCATATCTCTGTCCAACTCAGCAGGATGCAGGAGGCCAGAAAGGTACCTCTTCTTTCACGATGTGTTTGCAAAAAAAGGAAGCAAAGTAAAGCTATTGTGTTTTTGCTACTTTTCTATAAGATTGTCAGCATTTTGGTCAAATTTTACGTAACTGTTGAATATGTCCTGGTGCATCTCAGTAATCCAGGTAGAAAAAAATCAAAAAGACAAAATAAGTAGGTCTTCTGGATGGGTTCTTCTTTAGTGAAACGTTTCGTCTCTCCTCCAAGAGACTTCTTCAGTCTGATGAGTAGAGATGTGACGTTCACGAACGATCCGAATCGTTTGAACGGCTCTTTACAACAAACGATAGGAGCCGGATTGCGGGCAGCAACGAGCCATTTGTAGTTTTATTTCTTTTATTCCTCATGTAATTTTATTTTTTTCATACTTAAATCGCTCCCGYTTTGCTTTTTCATGGAAAACAGGTGGAGTTGTGGTGTACAGAGGCTCACGGTGAAAGGGGAGGGGGTTTTCCGCTTGACAAACACATGATTCCACCCATGTGACGGGATGACGTCATTACGTACGGCTACGTGATGACGAATTTTCCTATGTGATGACGTATTTTCCTACGTGATGACATATTTTCCTATGTGATGACGTAATACGTTTAAAATCAAACGGCTCTTTTGAACGGCTCTATGAAAAATAAAAACGGCTCCCCAAGATCCGGATCCCTTCAAAGAGCCATTTATCCCATCTCTACTGGTGAGTTTCAGGTGAACTCAGCCTTATAAGCACTGCCTCCAYATGGACAAACAGGTTAGTCACATGCAAAAGAGGGCCATCGACTAACAATAGGCTTGATTAGCTCTATTGTTCATAGAGGGTCATGTGCCCCATCATCTGACTTATTGGTTTGGATGCTTTAGCTGTGGTTATTTGGTGTTGTGTTATGTGTATGTAGTGAGTGCCAGCGGGGCTTGGCATCCCCTTGTTTTTGTCTCTATTTCGCTCTTTGTGTTGGTATCGTTGGGGCCCTGATTCACACCTTTTGCTCACAGGGGGCTGAGTCATACTTGCTATAACAGCGTTGTAGGAGGAGTGAAGAAAACTGTCCACCATTAAACAGAGATGGAGGCCTTTGTGTCCAGTTGTCCTCCTCCTACAATGCTGTTATTGCAAGTATAACTCAGCCCCCTGTGAGCAAAAGGTGTGAATCAGGGCCCCAACGATACCAACACAAAGAGGGGAATAGAGACAAAAACAAGGGGACGTCGAGCTCCGCCTGCACTCACTACATACACATAACACAACACCAAATAACCACAGCCGAAGCATCCAAACCAATAAGTCAGATGATGGGACACATGACCCTATATGAACAATAGAGCTAATCAAGCCTATTGTTAGGCGATGGCCCTCTTTTGCACATGACTAACCTGTTTGTCCACCATGTGGAGGTAGTGCTTATAAGGCTGAGTTCACCTGAAACTCATCAGACTGAAGAAGTCTCTTGGAGGAGAGACGAAAYGTTTCACTAAAGAAGAACCCATCCAGAGGACCTACTTATTTATTTCTTTTYAACAATTGAATAATTTGCCACAGTTTTGTATCATTTTTAGCCGTTATGTGATGTTTTTATCCGTCTTCCAGGCTTATGTTAACATGGCTCTCTTTGAGAACTTTACCTACGCTGGAATAGAYGCCACCGCTGAAGAGGCCTGACTACCAGCCCCCCCAGGCCCTCGCATATCACGTAGCTCCAAGAGAAAGTGGCGCGGTAGACCGCCGCGTTACTGCCACCTCCCTGCCGCGCACCGCCAAAACAGGAGGACCGGGCGCCCGACTGCAACCACTCAGCTGTAGACGGAGGACTGTGAAAAGACACTGTCGAGGTATCGAAGGCGCTGAACGATGCAGAGTCTGTCTGGGCCTTCAACGGACAGAGGCGACTGCAAAAATAAACTTTCAGCTTTTGTCCGAGCATTGCAAATTTGGAGCTGTGTGATTTGATGAAACACCACAGGGTCTGTGGGGCGTCAGTGCTGATTTTAATTTTATTTTTTCTTGTTTTTGTGGAGGACAAAATCTTTTCAAGGAGGAAAGAAATATAAAGGACACTGTGTGGATCACAAAACAATAGTTCTCTACTTTTTGAGCTTAGGTGGAAACAGACTGTGGCACTTCAAGCYGTTTTGTTTGTGTCATAATTATTAACTGTGCATTGCCTATCACTGCCATGTGAAAGTTACTACTACTGTATGTATTTTTGACAAATTTTTAAGGTTACTATAAAGTATTAAAGCCCTGTATTCAATGTAGCCAGACAATTTTAGATCAATTTAATTCAACCAAGGATGATATTGATGTGTTGCATGGAGATTTACACCAAAAGTATTTTTTGGGGAAATGGCCTTTTCGCACACATCTTAACCCTAAAACTGGGTTTTCTTACAGATATGGTCAATTTTTTTTTTTTACTGTAGGACAACAGTACAGTTGTTCATTGGTTAAAAAATAGTTTTAAAAGAATCAGAAAGTCGGACAAAATTTTGTGAAACTGTATTTTGTTTAATCCTYGGAACCATTTGGTTAGGTGTTTCCAGTGTTTTGAATGAAAAGTCTATAAAAAGCAACATAGAAACAAATCTAGTCTATAAGCTTTATCTAACTTAGTTTGCATTATGCAATTAAAATTTATTGGTAATGTACCCACTGTGAGATAATGTACAGAGAAAGTGTTCAGCAACTTTTTTAAATAAAAGTTTTGTATGATTAATCGACTCTTCGCCATGAGTTTAGCTGAACTTAGATAAAACAAAATGTTCTTTTTCTGCACTAATGTTGAGTTCTATGGAGCAAACATAGTTGTCATCTTCTGCCAATGATGTAAGACAATTRAAAAAACATTTTTAATGCTGTGTTAACCGATTTTCAGAAGTTATGGTGGATTCAAGAAAAAAAGAACTGTTTTAAGTGGGGGAACAGGTCACAAGTTCAACAGAGTACAAAGAATCTGTAGAAATTATGGCAGAAGGGAAATGCAACATAAGCAGTTTATAACTGCATCAGGTTCATGATTTGTGCAGATTTGAACCCATGAGCTGATTAGCTTCCAGGAAGCAAATAAAATGTAAAAAAAAATACTAACACCTTTTCACAATTTAGTTCACTTTATAAGTGTTAACAAATTTTCTCTAACTTTGTATTGTTTTCTCACTGTTCTTGACGGTTGCTCATTTTTATTAAATGTTAAATTTAAATGTCAAAAAATATATGTAAATGTGTAAATCTAAATRTAAAAGTTAAATTTTAAAAAGTTCACCTTTAAGTATTTTGGAATGGAATGCAGCCTTTGCTGTTGGTGCTTAGCTCATTAGGACATCATCATCCTGAGACAATAGCAGCCTCAAACACTGCTAACGTTGCTAATGTTGCTAACACTTCTAACACTTCTAACACTGCTAACGTTGCTAATGTTGCTAACACTGCTAACACTGCTAACGTTGCTAATGTTGCTAACACTTCTAACACTGCTAACGTTGCTAATGTTGCTAACACTGCTAACGTTGCTAATGTTGCTAACACTTCTAACACTTCTAACACTGCTAACTGCATACAAGACATCAAACTTGCAGTTGTGGCCGGTATCTGAACTGCACTTCAAACTGCCGGACCAAAGGTACCATCCGCATTGTTTTCAATGAACACATGGACTCAATTATAAATTTTCAGCAGCGTTAGCAGTTGTTATTGTCTCAGGGTGATCCTAACATAAACACAGCACCAACGACAAAGGCTGCATTACAGTCTGAAATACTTAAATGTAAACTTTAACATTTAGGATTTAACTTTTACATTTAGATTTACGTATATACCGTATTTATTCATGTTTGATGCGATCTTGAGTTAAATACAATCATCATTTTTTGAGCTTAAAAAGTATAAAAAAAATCTAATCATGCATGAAGCCACCACTCATTTCAGACAGACTTTTCCAGCCTTTGCGGTGCGCCCTCTGGTGGGGAAACATTATTACGGAGACACACTTGTGTGGGCGTGTTTTGTTGCAGAATTGTGGAGGATGAGCAGCAGAAGTTTCCGGTTTCCGTGTGTCACTGAAAAAACAATCCCCTCCCAGATCAGAGCAGAAGCAGTTGTTAAAATGAGTATTTGTCTGAACATCTAATCAAAGTCCGAGTCTTTTTTTTACACCGCTGCGGTTAACAAGAAAAAGAAAACAAGTTTTTTTCTCTTCTGACTCCGATGAGTAAACAACTATTGTTTATTAAACACATCGCTATGCACAACTTACAATGGGAGGGAGGGGGAATATTTCAGTTATATACAAGGAAATACTGAAACCTATTGTGGTTGTACATTAAAAAAGTCGGTCAAAATGTTTTCCCGTGCATAATACTACCCCCAGCCCCCTGACCTACACACACACTTTATGGGTTAAATTTAAATACTATATGTGTGTGTGTGTGTGTGTGTTTGTGTGTGTACGGGTTTTTCCAACAACGTGGGGTATTTTTTACAAAAAAAAGCAGCCAAGTGGGGGCCGAAGTGAATCGTGGGGACCACTGTCAGATCCCCACGGGTCCAAATGCATGTTACAGGTGTGGGGTTAGGTTTAGGACCAAGGTTTAGGTTAGTTTTAGAGTATATGGTCAGGGTTAGGCTATAAAGTCTAAAAA